GGCTGTTTTTCTTTCGTTTTGATGTTGTGCACAGACGGTATCTGTGCGTGCACGGGGTTGGTATTGCAAAACGATCGCCTTCCTGTTTTGGCTGACCTACATGTTGTATAGATAAAAAGATGCACTTTCCGATATATCTCTTTAAGGGCATATTGCGTTCTCTCTCTCTGTCGATGAACGTGCTATTTCGGGGGTTCGGCTTAGCCAGCAGTGGAATAAACATGCTTCAAGAGAGCATAGCCAAAAAAATAAGGAACCTCATCCGCATTCCCATCATCTGTCGACTAACGTGTACACGAAAGCGAATCAACAGCAGATTAGATCTATTCTGAGGGGAAAAATATTCACGGATGGAGTTTGATTAAGTTTACGAGATAAATCTCCGAACTTTATGAACTCATTTGGTACCCTGTTCAATCCTCCGTTCCGGGAATTTCAGCGTACAGTATGACACCTGATCACCGAACCACATTGCAAATATGAGCACTCTTCCTAGTACTTTTGAACGATGTCCATTACTTGTGTTTAAAAACACATAATTATTGACAATCATTTCGAGGAACGGTTAAATGGTTTTAACACCATTGAATTGGGATTTGGCTCAAGAAGGATATTATTCAGTTATTCGATTCTATATTCATGGTACCAATGGATGGTTCACCAAGCAGTCCTTTGTAGAACACGTGGAATAAATAGGAACCGCAGGTGAAAGAACGAAGTGGGGCGGAGGACGAGGTGTAAGAGAAGAAACTAGTTCGCGAAGAATAATCTGAATTGCGATGGATTGCCAGTGATTGATGCACGTGGGATACAGAATAAAAAAATGGACTAGATTATTTAAACAACAGAAAAGCCATTGAGAAGTTTATCTGTTGTATAGATGAACGTAAAACCAGCTCACGCCTTACCTCAGGTAGTAAAGAACACAATATACGTTGACATGAGAGAGGTACTGGATGCATCAAAACACCAGCAAAATTTGTTGACTTGGGAACTCATGTAAACTTAGTGAGTTACAAACGGTGGTTCTTAAGCAATCCTAGTCCGTTGGAGTCTCCCATTGTGTGTCGTATGGTAGCCTTTTGATTAGCCGATTCTTCTGTCCCGGAAACTGCATCATTACATATATTCAGAAAAAGGAAGCAAAATGAAAAGGAAGATTTTACTCCATTTTACTCGGCCACAAAGGGAATTGAGATTAGGGGATTACCATGGAAAACGAAGCATTTACTCAAGTTGTTTATATTGGAAACCTCCTAACCGCCGTATTTGTGCATAGTGCATCTGTTTGGAACGGCATACGGCGTGGAGGCAGAATGTTCCTACGTGCATTGTCATCCGATCATTAAAATTAGGTTTTACAATTTTACTACTTAAATATGTGGAAGTAGTAAAACAAGGATCCGATTTTTTGAAGATTGCTGAGACTGCCACTGGATCTTCATGAATTACCAAAAACCAGTTAAAAGTTTACGGGTATCTAGAGAAATATCTTTTCATAAAAGCTCCTGGTAGTTCAGATTTTAGATTGGTCAACCATAATTGTCCATAGAATGGTGAATATCATGCGATTTCGTACCGGTTACATGATATCGTTTTCAACCCTAATACCGAGCCGGTACCATTAATATGATGGTAAAGATGAGAGGGGGCAAGTACCCCGATCCCGATTGTCAGCTTATTAGTAAACCTTTACATAGAGCACTCATCTGTTAGTTGAGCAAACAAGTTATTTATCTTGATACCACTGACAAAATTATTGATTGGGAGACCGTTGTTTGGCGGGAAACAGAAAAACACTTCAAAACGATTGTTCTGAATTAGCAATTTATGTTCATATAGGGTGCATATAGCCGAGTTCCAAGATTCTGTCAAACCAGGGCTGTTCAAAACCACAAACTGAGACATCGATATGCCGTTTATTGTTCCGCAAACGGTTGGTCGAGAAAAAAACATGGATAGGTTTTTTTTTCTCTCAAACTTCACTTCACTCCACTTGCTCCCGGTCGATGCATTTAACCAAACCAGATCGGGAAGAGAGAAAACGTGATCGAGTGAACAAATTGTAAACAACTGAAACAAGAAAAGCACCAAATGTTTACTACCCCACCAGGAGAAATTCCAACTCACAGAAAAATTACCGTGGAGGTCCCAGTTTGAACCGATTTTCAGACAGTCGGATCGTCCAAGTGAGGAACGTCAATCCTCATTTCTGTCCCCTCCGAATTTCGGTGCAACACATTTGAACTGTAAAATACTTATCAAAAAGGGAAGGACGAAGTACATCGTGTTGGTGTACTTTCGTTTCTACTGAGAACATTAAATTTTGCTTCGGTGCACCTGAAGCTAAAGTGCATTTAACCTTCCACATCTAGCTTGAGGTGGAACGTTTCCTAATTATACTGCTCCTTTTTGTTTCTACCGTTCATGAGGTGTGTACCGCTGACCATTTATCTGATGGTGTCTTTCTGACAAACCAGAAGTTTTTAATTAATTTCAATGGATTAAATCGGTTCATTTCTATCTACGGTTTGGTATCACACATGTTTCAAAAATCGCGGTTGTTGTTGTTGTTTTTGTTCGGTCATGTAGCTTTCAGTTTTTTTTCCGGTTGTTTTCAAACCCAATGAACAATGCGGATCACTAATCTGTGCGCTGGGATGAACAAGAATGGCTAGTTGTTGGATCTCAGGAATTCGATTACATTTATTAGACACCGCATGTGGGAGGTCAGATTTTTTATTCATAATCTGTTGAAATTGGTGTTCTTAAGGGCAACAAGGACCACCGTTTTCGATTGATTCATCGATCATACATAGAATCGGATTCGCGATTAGGTTTGTCGACAGTCGAAATGTGGACCATGTTTCGTGACTCTAGTGTAAGCTGACGGAGGAGGTGAAGGAAATGGAACGGTTGTGCACATAACTCCAGTTTCAATTAGCCCAACATTAGTTGGTATGTGTCCCAATTCAGAAGAACCTGGTGGATGTCGGAGCAAACCAGGCAACTATTAGCTTATTGGCAGACCTCAACTTCAAAAATGGGGAATAAAATAGCGTT